CTCTTGCAGTGTCTGACTGCACAAGTGGGTGCTAGAGGCATCAGGCAGAAGAAAGAGCCCAGGGAACCAGCCAGGCAATGGTCTGCAACTCAGCCAGTGACCTCTGTGCTCCTGGTCCTTAAATGCCAACTTGTATTCATTAGACAGTCAAAGTACACTGCATCTGGCTAGTGCTTGCTGTGTGTGTCTGACCATATACAGACATTATAGACACCTACACTCAAGTCCTTTCCTGTGAAATGAGCGTGTTTTGCAATGGTCTACACTTTGGTTGTTTTGTAAAACAGAGACGTATAGATACAAATCTAAGGCAATTAGTTAAAAGTGTCTATTTGTAACTAACCACGGCTAAACTTGCTGGTTTCACTTAGTTGTTTGTGTTTGAGATATTAGATGCAGTCAGAGGCCATATAGGTGCACCATATCTCTGCTGCACAAATAAATCAAACTAAAGCAGCCCAGTTCTTGTAGACTGACATTAGGATAAGTATATCTTAAGAAAGTTCTTATTCAGACTTGGCTTCAGGCAATAAAACGTCATAGATGTATAACTCTAGCGAGTGAAATTTCTAGGGAGCAAATTAGGCTAAAAACATCTTCTAGAGACAGCTAGAAAGGAATCAGACACCACCCAAAAATAAGGCAAGTTATGCAGTAAATGTTTCATTTATTGGATTTCTTCCAATACTATTAGGGTTAAAAGATGGGTTGTCAATAAAAATGGTATATTTATGGAGGGCTCTGTATTTCAGAAGCCTATTTCTTGTCATTCACTCCTATAGTGCTTGATATCACCTCATGATAAAGTGTGAATAATCCCTGCATGAATGCATATTTCTACCCATTAACGATTTTATTATTTGACAGAATTATCTCTAACAAAAGCAAGTGGTACAGCTGTGGTTTAGGTGCTAAAAGGGAGGGATGTTCCTACTGAGAAATAGGCATGACTTGGGAAGCAGAGCATAGATTGAGAGACATTAGGCTGTGTTATGAGCTTGAAAAACAATGCACCCAGTTTTTTGGAACTAATTTTCCAATGTTTCTCCATCAAATGAAGATAGAAAGTCCTCCTTAATCAAATAGCACATAGTGACCTGGTCAGTTTGTGTGCCATTTAAAGCCACAAAGAAATCTGGCAGTAGCACCATGATCTGGCTGTTTGTTGATATTTTGCTGTTTGATAGGTTTCTTGAATTTTCACATGTGCTTGTTTCAGTCAATGCAAATGACTGCAGACAGGAGCCATGATTTCTGTGTTTTCATGCTGTCATCTCGTCTGCCCTAGAAAAAATTTCTCTTCTTTGCTAACTCTGGAAGAGCCAGTACTGGTATGACACTAGGCAGATGTGTTTGCTTCCAGTTATTGGAACCTTTTCAATATTGATTCTTTTTTTTTACATTCAGAGCAGATTTAATGATCCAAGATTATTTGCAAACATGCAAATTCCTTTGAGCTGTAGATTCAAATCCCAGCCTGGTCAACCAAAATCCTTTTATCTTAAAAAAAAAATAAAAATTGAATTTTACACATTGCAACCTACATTGGGACCTCTTGGAGAAGACCATGAAAACAGATGACTCACCCCAAATATGTAAACATTAGCCAGGAGATCCAGCTGGCATTCAGCAGGCCATATTTCTCCAAAAAAGGCCTGGGCCTTTGGTGAGACGGTAAAGATTCCAAAACATTTTTATAAAAGAGTAAATTTCCTTGGCTTCCCCATGTCAGCCTCTTCCCTGTTCAGCTCATTGCACGGTGAGCTGTGGGGTGAACCTCACATGCCTTTGCACTGCTGCTGCTCTGCTGCAGGAGTCTTGGCACTGTTGGGCCAAAGTGTGAAATGGTGACACCACTGTGGGTCACCAAACCCCACAGCTCAGCACTTGGTATAACTGTACCCAGTGGTGAGAGTTACAAAAGCTTGGAGAAAAGCACTTCCACTTCTTCCTCTTGTGCTAGAGGTCAGCCTTGGCAAGAAGCAGAACATCTCTTGAATGTGGAGCACCTGGTTTTGTCTCTCCAGCTGTCACTTAAAATTGGATATTCAAACACGAAATCGTGTTTCGTGCCATGGACTAGATTGATTTTTTTTTTTTTAATATTATGTTTCTTTCATTGTTAAATACTATACTTGTTTTTTAAATCCAAGGCATCATCTGAGAACCTACTACTCAACAGCTGCTATTGACCCCTGGAGAGCTCTCACTTCCCTGACTGTGAAACAAATTGTTACATAAGGAGAAATGAAACAAATCAGATGCACCAGCTATCCAAAGTGACTTGTACTACCCTAATGAAACCATTTTGGTTTAGTAACCATCTATAATTCTTGGACTTCACAACCACACTAGCTCTAGGCTGCAGTTTGAAAACAAACCCCTGGAAGTTTGCAAAAGGAAGAACTTGATGAAAAGTAGAAATTAGTTTCCTGGCCCTTCACAGGATTCCTCCGAATCCACCATGGAGGTAAAACCTCAGCTGCAAAAATGTGCCCAGGAAACACCTTCCACAGCTGGGGCACAGCCCCTCACCCTTCCAGAGCCATCTTCCACACCCAGGACCCCAGCTGGCAAACAACACCGAGCTCCCCTGTAGCAGCATTTACTCCTGTGAGTAACATTACTCGCACGAGCAGTCCGGGTGTGCCGCCACCTTCGCAGCTCATCTGTCAGTGATGTGACTCAGGCATGTGAGTCTCCACAGAATCAGACCCTTCTGCAACCAGCTTTGGGCAACAACTGGCTCTGTCCTGCACACTAACTTTTGATGGTGCTACTAAGTAGTTAGGAACTACACTGGGAAGCAAAACCATGCTTGTTTAAAGAAAAATCCATAGCAGATTGTAAAAAGATCTTAGAAAAACAAAACAAAACTGTGCAACTGTTTTTGTTCATTTGGATCAAATTATAACACATGGCCCCGCAAAATAAATAGGAGTCTGTCACATTTGTATTTCTAATCTCATATTGTTCTGGGATATAAAGGCATTTAAAAATCAAAAAGCAAACAAAAATGGAGAATATTTGTTAAAGTGTCACTCTGCAAGGCACTAGTTTGCAGAGACAGTAAGTACATAATCAGGGGCAAATGGGAAGTGTGCATGCCCACAGTTATTTAGTACAATTTCTGAAAGTAAAAAGCAAGTTAGTCAAAAGACCATTGGAAAAAGAAACTGTTCAATACATTTGTACATTGAGTTAACAGTGAAGTATTTCATTAGTCATGTTTTTACTTGGTGTCTTAAAATAATCCCTTTTCTGTCTCCATATTCCCACTTAGACATTGTTCACAGACTTATTTATTTATGAAGTCTGAAGGTTAGTCCCTACCTGCTGAGACTAATTAGCCCTGTTCTTTGTGTCCTATGCAATCCTGTCTGATTAAATGTACACATTTGTTTTACTTCTTTTCATGCTTCCTTTCACTCTACTTCTGCTTTACTGATTAATATTAAAGTTGTAAGTTGCAGTGATTTTTTTATTTCTATTTTGTCTGCATCTTTCCCTTTAGTATGCAAATTTCTATGTGAACTTTTTAATGCCTGAGAATTCGTGTTAGCCTTGTCGATCTCTGTATTATTATTTTTATTATTCTTTTTATAGAAGACGGTTTAGCTGAAACCCCCCAAACTCTAAATATTGCATGACAAATTGGCTTTGTTTTGGAAACCCTATGTGCTGAATGACCCTTAGCATGAGCAGCAGGTTAGATTTCTGGAGGAATGTTTGGATTATTTAGTACAGCCTGTCCCTTGCTTTCAAACACCATTTCCATTAGGCAATTTACTAATTCCCATTGAAATTACTGTCTTCCCCCGCCCCCCTCCCCACTCCCCTCCTTTTGTTCCTTGCCCATGTTAAAGTTTCCAATTGACTCGTCCATTGTTACAATTTGTCACTGCTGGAAGATCAATTTGTTTTCCCCTTCCCCTCGCCACACTAGGTTCGGGGAACAGATGCCATTTCTCGCATGTCTCTGCTCCCCATTTTGTTGCGGCGCAGGCAGAGCCGTGGCCGGAGCCTCCCGCAGCCCCGGCCCCGCGGGGACCCCGCACCGGACCGGACCCGGACCGGACCCGGACCCCCCCTTCTCTTTCATTGCCCCCCCAGCAGCGTGATGTTTACGCCACCACAACTTTCCACTTCTGAAGTCTGGGAGTCCTTGATTCTCCGTCCTGCCATGCTAATTAACTTCTTAGCAGTCACATTCCTTTTCCTCCTCTCTCTCTCTCTCTTTTTTTTTTTTTTTTACATCAAGGACCAGAAAACATTATGCCTTACTATAAGATAATTTGGAAATATCTGATCTTCAGCGAGTGATCTCACACATTTTCATCCCGCGTGTTATAGCTATAATAAATGCAAGGACCAAGTGCTGCTGAAAAAAAATAAAAAAGGCTTTTACTATATTCTAGTGTTTATTATGATTGGAGTTTCTTACCTCCAACGAGTGGCATGAAAAATGTTAACGGTTTAAAAAAAGCACCCACCGCACCACCCTGCCGTCACATGTACCCAAATAATAAGGGCACACAAACATCCTTCAGGAGAACCCGGGCTGCGGGGGGATGATATGTTTATTAATGTCCAGAATGTAAAAGTTGGCGCTCCCGGAACGCAGAGTCAGGGACACCCGTTCGAATGCTTTTCCCCTCGCTCCCCCCGTCCCGCAGCTCTGAGCTACGGCGTAAAAAAATTTAATTTTTCTTTTTTTTTTTTTTTTCTTTTTTTTTTTTTTTTTTGCCAACCTCCCCTCCCCTCCTTTTGCGTCCCGGCCCCCCCAGCGGCGCCCCCGCCCCCGCTGCCCTCCCCTCGCGCTCCCGCTCCCATGCCAAAAAGGATCATTGTTAGTTTCCTACTTCCCCCACCCTCCTCCTCCTCCTCCTCCCCCTCCCGCGCCCCAGACCTGTTTATTTATGCAGACGTCACCGGGGAGCCCCCGCCCTCTCCTGCATCTCATTAAGTGCCTGGTGTGTTTCTCGCTCCCTGTCAATAATCCCGGATCCCAGACTTCTCCGTTCCTCCGGATTTCGATCCCCCTTTTTCTATCTGTCAATCAGCGCCGCCTTTGAACTGAAAAGCTCTCAGTCCAACTTCAACTCACTCAAACCCGAGCGGCACAGGCTCCCCATATCCGCGGCGACTGCCCCCCCGTCACAGCTGACTTCTGGGCTTGGTTTGTTGCGTTATTTTTTTTTTTTTTAACCCCCCTCCCCCCTGCTGCTCCCCCCTCCCCACGGTTTATATATTTTTTATTATTATTAATTTTTCCGCGAGTGCGTGCGCGGGTGTGCGTGTGCGCGCAGTGCACGCCGAGCAGCTCCCGGGAAGAAAGAAAGAGAAAATCCCGAAGAAGGAAAGGAAGAAGCCTAAAGTCACTGGTGCAAAGGAGCAAAGAAGAGACATTTCCCTCCCCTCCTCCTCCCTCTTTTCCCCTCCCCAGGAGGAAAGAGAAGGGGAAAAAAAAGAAACTTTCACCTTGGACTCTTCTTTTTTTGGTGCAAACTTTCCCCCCCCCCTCTTCTTTTTCCTTTTTCCCCCCCATTCCCCTCCTTTTTTTTTTTTTTTTTTCTCTTTTGTTTTTCCCCTTCCCCTTTTTGCAAAATTGCTGCTGGTGGGGTGAAGCAGGAGGAAAATGCCGCAGCTGAACGGCGGTGGAGGGGACGACCTGGGCGCCAACGATGAACTGATCTCTTTCAAAGACGAAGGGGAGCAGGAGGAGAAGATCTCCGAGAACTCCTCGGCGGAGAGGGATTTAGCTGATGTCAAGTCGTCTCTCGTCAATGAATCAGAAACGAATCAAAACAGCTCCTCAGACTCGGAGGTACGGGGGAAGCCCCCCGCGGGGCCGTTTCGGGGCGGCGGGCGGGCGGGCGGGGGCCGCGCTGTGCCCGGGGCCGCGCCGGGGCCGGGGCCGGGGGCGCCGCGCCGGGTCCCGCTCCCGCCGGCGCCCAACTTTCTCCGCGGCACCAACTTGTAACGATGCCTTCTGTTTTGTTCTGTTTGTTTCCCCTTCCACCTTCTTCCCCGCACCTCTCCCTTCTTTTTCGCCTTTCATTCCTCCTCTTCTCCCTTCTCCCCCCCTACCCCCCCAAAAAACATCCTCCCCATCCCAACCACCCCTTTCCCCAACTGCCCCATGCCGACCCCCGGCTCGCTCCCAGGCGGAGCGGCGGCCCCCGCCTCGGTCCGAAACTTTCAGAGATAAATCCCGGGAAAGTTTAGAGGAAGGTGAGTACGCGGGCCCGGCCGGCACCGCCGCCCGCCCCGCTCCGCCGCCCCTCCGCCGGGCGCCCGGCTCCTCTTTTGGGGACACTTGCTAAAAAAACTTTTCCTTCCCCCCCTCTCCTCCCTTCTCTTGCCCCTGTTGCCCCTTCCTTCCCCGCTCCCGCTCGTGTCTCCCCGCCATGTTAGCTGCGAAGAGGCAAGATGGAGGGTTGTTTAAGGGCCCACCATACCCGGGTTATCCCTTTATAATGATCCCCGACCTCAGCAGCCCGTATCTGCCCAATGGATCGCTCTCTCCGACGGCGAGAACGGTAAGTGCCTTTTTTTTTTTCCCCCTCTCTCCTTCCTCTCCCCCCGCTCCGTCCCCGGTCCCGCCGCCGCCGCGCTCCCGGTGCCCCGCTCGCCCCGGCCCTGCCGCCGCCCCCTCCCCCGCGCCGCAAACTTTCCAAACTCCGCGGGCCGCGGCGGGAGGGGGTTTGTTTACACTTCGCCATATTACTTTTTTTTTCCTTTTTTTCCCCCCTCTTTTATTTCTTTTTTTGGGTCTTTTTCTTATTTGTTGTTTTTTTTTTTTTTTTTTTTTTTTTTTACTTTCAGTTTTGTGGGCAGTTTTTTTGGAGCCCTTGCAACCTCCGCTGCGTGGGGGTGGGGAAGGAAAAAAAGCAAACAAATTCCAAACAACACCTATTTCAGCCTCAAAACCAAACTGGAAACAAATTTTTAAAAACCCGAGAAGTTTGAGTTTGGGTTTGTTTTTTTTTTTTTTTTCCCCCTCCCCCTTTTCCCTTCTCTCCCCTTCCTTGGGGAGGGGGGTTATTTTCTCCCTGCCGAGCCTGTGATCCGCTCCTCCAAACTCCTCGTTTTCCATGGTGATCCGTCGCCTCCTGCCCTCCTCCGTGGCGGCTGGGCCGGCTCCCCCTCCCCTTTCCTCCCCCTTAACCCTCTCCTGCCCTCGCCCGCCCCGGCCCGCGGGAGCGGCGATTTCATTGTGCCCCTTCGGGCCGCGGGTGCCGCGAGCTGTGCCCGGGCTCAGCCCGGTCCGGCCGGCCGGATCCGCGCCCCGCGGCGTGCGGGGGCCGAGCGGCGCTGCCCTGCCCGCCGGGGCCGGGCCCGGGCCCGGGGAGCGGCTCCGTCCCGGTGCGGAGCGGGGGGAGCCGCGCTCGGGGCGCAGGGCTGAGTCCGGAAACAACTCGCCTCGCTTGGCTCTGGCAACAACAACAGCGGCGCAAAAAATAATCAGACAAGTCGAGCAAAATTCCTCTTGGAAGTATGCTGGCAGGAAAACAATTTGCTGAAAGCATCCGGTTTTTTGTTGTTGGTTTTTTTTTTTTTTTTTTTTTTTTTCACCCCTAACTCGGGGTTCACTGGCAGGGGGTGCAGGGCTGCGTGTGCCTGCAGCTAGAGCGAGGTTTATTCAGATCCCAGGAAACTTTGGGGTCTGCTCGTGGGTTTGTAGTCTCAGCTGTTTTCCCGCTTGTAATGTCACCCACGGTGTGCTCTGCTCTGACATCAGATTTCTCAAGTGTCTCCTTTTCTTTCCTTTTTTCAAGAGTTTAATTTTTTTTTTTAAATTTTGAATGGTTAAATCCGCTGGGACTTCCAAGCACAACTGATTCCTACCGATGGCTTTAGCATTGCTGTTTTGTTTCTTCTGGGTGTTTCTGAGTCTGAAGCGTTCCCACCATCACCATGTGTGTTTATACACTTTTTTTTTCCTTGTGGTAACACGAGATAGCAATTTACAATAATAGATCTACTGTTGGGTAGATGTTGAAGCCGTACAAATGACTGAGGGCTTGGACAACTTCAGTCTATCAGATCTACAAGTGTTTTAAAGCATTAAAATATTAAACATCGGGTCAGTCTTGTTTTCACTTAGTAAAACGTCAGTAGACACAGATTAGTAAATGTAGAGTGACAGGGAGGTTGTGAGGAAGGTTTTCTGACTTTGCATATGTTTAGGGCTGTGCCAGAGTTTTATTTTGGAAGCTTGTGAGGCTCTTTTTGCGAGGAGGTGATTTCTGGGACAGTAGCAGAGGGGTGACTGCAGTTTGCAATTGTAATGATGGGGAGGGGAATTCAGGGGCTGAATGCATTATATTTTTTCTTTTGAATATGGTCACTCACATGTATATGGATGATCGTGATAAATTCCAAATTCCATAAGTACCGGAATCCAGATGGCAAAACAATCTTTGTTCCAAATCACTTTGTTACGAATTGTGAAGCTTTGTATTCCCTTTTTTTTTTCCCTCTCGTTTTTTACCTTCAATGCATTCCACTGTTCCAAGTGCAGACTAATAGGAAGCACACCTCTGCTGCCTTTTTCTTAAAGCATTTTCCTTACAACAGCTACAGCTCTTTTTTCCTCATTACATTTATTACAGATCCCTTTTCCCTTATAGCATGTGGGGATAGGATCCTTCAGCAGTTAGCTCTCCTGGAGCATTCCTCCCCTTGCTCCCCCACCGGTAAAAAAGGCCTCCATAGGAATGTTGGGTCCGTGTGAATTAAAGGTGCTGTACAAAAGCTTACAGGTTGGTTTATTGTTGGTATAGCAGGTGGCCTGCCTGTGTTATCAGATGAATTCTGAAAGGATATTTCTACACTCAATAGGCAATTTTCTTATTTCCACATCCAGGCTCCAGCAACCTTCTCCTATCTTCTTAACCTTATTCTTTCACATTCCTTATGCTTGTTTGTTTGCCTGCCACTTAATTATAGCCAGGAAAAATTAAAGTTGTTTATTTAGGCCTGAGAGCAGAATATTATAAAGATTCAGCGGGATAGCTGTTGTCTGTCACACACTATTTTTAGGTGGATTCTAGTTCTCTGCTGTACCAGCTTTCAATTCCAGATGAACTAGATCTTTCTCTCTCCTGTTTGATTTTATTTTATTTTTAAATACGCGGTGGAAAGGTATAGCTGGTTCTGCATAATTACGAATTTTATTTTTATTTATGTAGTTTTTCCTGGAGCCATATTTGTTGAGTGTCAGAGCATGCAAGGTAAAGAGGTGATGCAGATACGTAGCAAAATTGTTTTTCTTTTCCTTTTGCTGTTGTACAATCTTAAAAGTCTGTGGGTGTGGTTTTTTTGTTGTGGTTTTTTTTTTTTTCCCTGGAATTTTTTTGTTGCTTTATTTGGGGGTGTAGTGGGATTATTGTGTTTTTAAAATGTACCTGTAATTGTCTGTTCAAGAGCAAACTTGTGGACAGCAATTTCTCCTTTACTGCTTCAGGAATGTGAAGAATTATGAAGTATCATAAAATCTGCTTATGAGGAATAATCTTTTTTCAGGGATAATGCTTTAAATACTGCGAACCCTTTATCAAGATTGATAGGAATAATTTTGTTTTTAAAAAGCAAAGATTTTTTGCATGCTAGTCTTGCTATTGATAGAATACTGTGGCATGCTTATGAGAATAGATGTTTTTAAGTAGAGGTCTAGTCAAATAGTAATGAAGTGACGCATCTGAGAGCACCAGTTCCATCCCTGCACTTGTAGAGGGATTGGGGTTGGCTGCATGTTATGGATAATAAAGGAAACTGTTTTCCTTTCAGAGTTGGAAAATGTAGAAGTGGTGTACTTGATTTTTAGCTTAAATTTGGAGCTTGGTTAATGCTTTTGGTAAGCAAATAGATGCAGTGTGATGTGAGAAAACCCTGCTGGCGGATGCTCTTATTTTTACTAGTGTTGTTGCATCTTCCTTTCCCCTAAGTTGTTGCTGGCTGAGTGAGACTGTAGGGGTAAGCTTATGTTTGGCCCTGAAGTTTGAGAGTTTGGAATAGCTGTGGTGGAAAGCAGCCCCATCGCCTTGATATTTATGTTTAGGAAGAAACATTTTTTATTAATTGCCTTGAAAAATTGATGCTTTTCTTTATCTACTGAATCAAACAATGTAATCCTTCCTAATACAAAAGCTTTAGACCCTGGGGTGTGAAGGGTTAATGGTGGTCCTTTTTTTTCTTCCCTCCCTCCAATTGTTTTGACAACACTTTTCAAAGTGTGACATTCCAAGCCCTTGCAATACAATGTAATATTACTGTAATTACACAGGTCATTACATTTTAAATAGAGAACAATAAAATGCTTATCGCCCTGAAAAAGAACAGGTGTTCTTGCCCTTCTTTGGTATTTATGCTAATTGTTTTTCATCTCCTTCAGAAATATTTATGGCTGGAGTGTTAGGGTTTCAGTCTCGATGTGACAATATTAATTCTTTACTAATCTTTATGGTTGAGGTTTAATGTCTGCAGTATGGATTATAGTATTAACGTCCACCAACTAGTTTAATAATGTAGATACAACTTAATATGTCAGCACTTTGGTACTTTATGATACAGAGCTATTCAGTGGAGAGTGAATTATTCACTTGGTTAGAAAAAAAATGAATGGACATGCTTTTAATAAAGTTTCTGGACTTGTGTAAAAACAAGCTGTTAAATAAGAACTGATGATCCTGTGGTGTAAATCAAATGGAACCTCCATAAAGAAACTTTCCTCGTGCTTAATTAGGTAGATTGCTGAATCACTCTGCTATAGCATTAGCATAGCTGGTGTACAGTGGCAGACTGTGTTTGTTAGCTTATTTGCAGTAAAGAAGCTGATTTATTTTTAATGCTATGCTTTTTTTCTTTCTTTCTTTTTTTTTTCCTTTTCTGTTTCTTTCTTCTTTTTTTTTTTTTTTTTTTCCTTGATAAGATTTTATTCTGAGGCAAAAGCTGCATTGCTTACTCCATCAGTTTCTCTTCAGGGGGCAATGAAAATTAGTTAGAGAAAAGTTTCATGTTTCTGGGACCTTGCAAAACAATATAATGCAGTACTGTTACTTGAGTGTACAGGATAATTGCAGGACTGCACTTCATTAAAAATAATATTTGCTTTGGAAATCGAACAATTTTAATAGGTGCACCAGTGGCTGATCTGTAGTGAAAAAAAAAATACAGTAGATGCCTTTCCAGGTTTTTTGAATGCATTCATACAAGGACTGTGGATGTTGAATAGGGTGGTGTGGTTTATTTTTTCCCTTCTTCCCCTTCATTTTTTGTTCAAGCAAGTATGTGCTGATTTGTCAGCTGAAGATGGAGGGGGGAAGGAATATGTTGCAGCTTTCACTGGTGCTTGTAAACCAGAATGTAGGTAAAAATGTTTTAAATTTGTCAAGACTTTCATGAGTGGGCCCCAAAATCAGATAAAAAATGTGGTGTAGAGAAAAAGGACAGCTGCAGATTTTTTGTGTGGACGTGTGTTTCTGTACCATGACTAAAACTCTAAGGACCTTTTCCCAGCTGTCTGGGAGTTATGTGG